GCCTTAAGTAAGCTGTGACAGAAATAGGGACATTAAAGCTGATTTTGCTAAGGACATAGAGGAAAAGAGGGAGCATGGTCGGGATGAAGCTTTTGTCCTAGAAAATACTTAATGTGCTTATGAGTAGAATGTTGGTAGAAATGAGAACATTAAAGGCACTGCCAGTAAGAGTTTGGAAAGAAATGAGGGACCTGTTATTGGAAACAAAGATGATCCTTGTTTTATAGTGGCAGAAAACTGGCTGAATTGGACTCTATAGCTATGTGGAGAATAGAACTTGTAAGTGATGAACTCGGGTAGTTAAGGAGATTTCCAAGCAAAAAATTAGAAGTGTCTCTTGGTTTCTCCTTGTTGATAGTAAAATGCACGAGGAAGGAGAAGCTAAAGAAGGAGCTCTTAAGGAAAAAGGAAGGCAGCACTTGGTAACTTGGGAGCTTCTCCACCTGTCCAGATTGCAGAGAATGTTGAAATGAGGAAACTCAGTGTTGGGAATGCATGCTCTGCGAAGAAGACCACTTATATGGCTGGACAGTCTTTTTCTGTTTCGGTTAGGCATCTGACTCATAGATCCACTCCACCATCTCAGCAGAAGTCAGGAATAGAGGAGGGTTATGCAAGAAGGTTCTGTGGAAGGTGTTTCTGTAATGGCATGACCCTGGTGAGACCTACAGGAGACCCATAAGGATTTTGATTATGTTGCATCAGCAGAAACATGGCCAACTCATACCCCAAAAGAGAGTCCAGATGAAATGAGACAAGGCTGTCAGACCTTCAAATTTCCATAGTAGGCAGGAAATTGGCTGATACACTACTCGGTTGCAAACATGAACTATCCTTCAAGAAAAAGGAATAACGAGACTTGAGGGCAGAGCCATAGCAGGCAGCACAGTGAGTAGAGCATTAAGCTCCTGAGGGTTATGCTCAGGACTTGAAACCCATAATACAATTTGTCCTGCTGTATTTTGAACTTGTATGGGACTGGTAACTCCTTATTCTTTCTAATTTCTCCGTTTTGGAATCAGAATGTCTGTCTTTGGAATTTGCATTTCTGATCTCAATACAGCATTTTGGAAGCAGACAGCTTGTTTTCTAGTTCACAGGTCCACATGTGGAGAAGAATTTTGCCCCAGGATGGAGCATGCTCAGCCTCTCACTCCCAAAGATTTGAGACTTCTGGGGACATTTACATGTGCTTTTGGCTTATAAACGATGCTCTAAAGGGTTGAGATTACTTAGGGGGTTGTCAAGATATAGGGCATATGCGTTTTCTATGTGGGATGATGTGGATTCCGGGGAGCCCAGGCTGGACTATAGTGGCTTGAATGGTGCCCCCCCCCCCAAAAAAAAAGATACTCTGGATCCTGACTTTTGGAACTTGTGTTAACTCTGACACCAGGAATTTAGACTTTGGTCTTATAGAACTATGAGAATAAATTTCTCTTGTTTTAAGCCACTGTGTTTGTAGTAATTTGATATAGTAACCCTAGGGAGGCAATGTATTACTCTACAGTCTTTTCTTCATTGATACCTTATTAATGGACCTACCATATTACTTTCTCTTTGGCTCATCCTATCCCCTGATAAAACTAATGTCTTCTGGTATATTCGCATAACATTTGATCAGTATTTCTATAATAATTCTTCCTGCAAGTTATATATGCTAATCTCTGCTGCTAAAATGTGAGCTTCAAGGGATAAAATTATTACTTATATTTATTTTGCCAAGGTACAGTGCACAAACATGGGTACTCAGTAAGTATTACTAATAAGTATTCGCTTGGTAGAAGCAACAAAGGTATTTTTCTGTCTTTAAAAAAGTTTTATTTGAGAGAGAGAAACCACGAATGGGAGGGGCAGAAGGAGAGAGATAGAGAATCTCAGGCAGACTTCCCACTGAGCACAGAGCCTGATGAGGGGCTCAGTCTCACAACCCTGAGATTATGACCTGAGTCAGATGCTCAACTGACTGAGCCACCCAGGGGCCTCAAGGGCATCTTAGTCATACTTGTTTTCCCAACGCTCAGTACAAAGGAAGTAGGTGCCCAGTGATGTTGATTCAGTGGAAAGGACCTTATATTAGGAAGTGACTTCTTCAGACCACCATCACAATTCCCTCTGCAATATACCTGACATGTAGAAACTGGTGTCCTGTTGGCATAATCCAGACAGAATGCTTAGTGTTCCCTCATGCACTTACTGGTTCTGTTATGAACAAATACAAATTGTCAGCAAGTCGTTTGTTACATAAACGAAAGCCTCTCCCACTACAACTTTTACCTAGCAATCTTGACTTTATCCTTTCGAACCAGATTTCTGCTTTTTGAGAGTGTAGGAGGCTAGAAGCCCGTAGGTCCTTTAACTGTCGCACTTCACATTTTGTTTTCTAGACTTCATTATTCTGCTCATGTTCCAGTTTTTAATGTTTCTTGTCATAAAAATTCTAGAAAAGTCAAAGAGGTTGAAGGGAGTAAGTGTGGAAAAGGAAGAATTGAGAGTATTGGGTAGATTAAAGGAGCTTGGAAGATAGAAACTTCAGAGAAGTGAAAGCTTTATGTTTGTGGTGCTCCATTTTTTAAAGCATTCTTGGGAATTTCTGTATTTCCTCTCTTGGTCTCTGTCTTTCTATACATAGAATCTTTCAGTTCAGCCTAGAAATTTGAGTGTCTATTTTGAGCATGCCCCTATGATGGGCACTGTGTAGGGACCAAAGATGAATGAGGTTATTTCCCCTACCTAAAGAAATTTCTAATTTAGTACTGTTTGCTAGGGATGATTATAGACTGATGGGGCTAAATTTTTCTAACATGTAACTTGTACATCGAAACTGCGTTTATTCCACTGGTGTTTCTCTTGACGAAAATATTTTTTGGAATTTTGCTTGTAACTATTGACATGCTCTTTCATACATATAAACCTATCCTCTATGCAAATCACTTTTTTCCTCTGGTAGAACTTTTTTGGGGAACACTGTTATTTGGAGCTAAATACTATATAAAACAAGTGAACAAATTGGAAATGCTCATTTTTGGGGTCTTTTTTTTACCTTTTTAAACTTTAGGTGAAGAACTGATTTAGATGATCTGTCAAGGATATTTTCTCTTTTAAAATTAATGACATACTGGCAAATTGCCCCTGAAAGTAAATTCTAGAAGAGTTCCAAAAGTGCTGAGAGTAGTGGTATATGGAGGGAATGAGTGTGCAGGAATATATTCTCAAGGTGAACACTTGGAAGGATCATACTTAAATGCGTAAATTCTGGCATACGCAAGTTTTGCCTGTGGTTGTCTAGTATATGAGCCTGTCTGTAGTTGTAGTCAGTTAAGTATGAAGTGTTGCTCCCCACTTTGCTTGAGATTTGTACAGTCCTTGACCTTTACAGGTCTCATCCTGTCTATCCCATCATTTCTTCTGCTTTTAGCTTCGCCTCTTTTTTTTTTTTAAATGCCTTTGAGTTGGACACCATTCATAGCAAGAGTTGTTTATGCATTGCTTTCAATTCCTGTGCCTGTCATGTTTATGTGGATAAACCAGTTTTTCTCCCTTCCTTTCCCCCTTTAGTGACCAGACTCACAAGAATTACCTTGCATGTGTCTTGGATGTCCTTATATCTACCATTTTTATTAAGCATTATTTAAATTTACCAAGACTAGAAAGATAGGATGGGTGATAAATCTGTACATCTGTTTGGCTGTTTCCTTTCTAGTTTAAATAGTTGAATCTACTTGCCTTCGGGTGTCTTGCACTTGGTTTTGTACAGGACTGTATTGCCTCTTACTTAATTCATTATTTCCAAAGGTTTTATTTTTTGTTTTTTTCCCCATTATTTCCAAAGGTTTTAAATGGCTTTTTTCATTTTTTTCTGACATATGCCCTGTAGAAAAATCAAAGTGTCTGGGCTTCAAGGCCAAAGACCTAATCTGATAAACCAGCTTCCTATTAATTTTTTCATTAAGGTATTTTCTGTTTTAAATAATATTGCCTACATGAATAAGCAGCTAAATAAAAATAATAGATACTATTATTTTTTGAGAGAGTGTATGTGAGAGTGAGGGGAGGTGGGGCAGAGGGACAGGGAGAGAGAAAATCCCAAGCAGGCTCCATCACCCCCAGCGCAGAGCCTGATGTGGGTCTCGATCCCAAGACCCTGAGATCATGACCTAGCCAAAATCAAGAGGCCAATGTCTAAACAACTGAGCCATCCACCAAGGCACCCCAATAATAATTATTTTTTAAAAGTGTTCATACAACCAATTTTTGTTTGTGAAACATAGGCAGTGTGGGGTTTTTTTTGTTTGTTTGTTTTTACCTTTATGTAACATTCCCTTCATTACTGTTAAATTATACTTCTCAGTAACTTGCAATGATACGGAGCTAGAGAGTATAATGCTAAGTGAGATAAGTCAGAGAAAAACAAATACCGTATGATTTCACTTGTGTGGAATTCAAGAAACAAAAAAAATGAGCAAAGGGAAAAAGACACAAACCAAGCAACAGACTCTTAACTATTGAGAACAAACTGGTGTTAGCAGAGGGAAGATGGAGGGGGATGGGTGAAGTAGGTGATGGGGATGAAGGAGGACACTTAACTGTGATGAGCACTGGGTGTTGTATGGAAGTGTTGAATCACTCTGTACACCTGAAACTAATAGAACACTGTATATTAGCTATACTGGAACTAAAACAAAACCTTAAAAAATTATACTTCTAAGTGGTATTTCACTTGGAGAAATAAAATAAATTATCCATTTTTTAATTATAGCTAAAAATGGGGAAAAGCCAGAAGTAATTTTCTGGCAGTCTTTTCCAGTCACTAGTATATGCTTGTAAGCTGAGAATGGTATCTCATGTAAGAATCATCAATTTGTTTGCTTTCTGCATTATAGTAAATGGAAATCAGTCACTTTAATTTTTGGAGGGTTTTGTTTTAGCCATAAGTTATAATTTGGTTCTCATTTCATTTTTCATTTCCATCCATTAACTGATTACTTTTATTTTAATAGTGAATTTATGGCAGAAGAAAGTAATGAAAAATTTTGGCTGTTTTTGGAAACTGTACAAGAATTAGCAGTTTTTAAGCAAACAGGTAGGTGATGTGCATATTATAACTTTAAAAATTTGTATCTATGTGTATACATTATATGTTTATTGTTTTTAATGTTAAGGGTGAAGTGTAAATGCTTAATTGGGTTAGTAGATCTGAATATTAAATTTGAAAATATGGTTTAATGGAAATTACTCTAAGCATCCATTTCCAAAAAATAAAGGTTTAATACTTTATTGTAAAAACTCTCACATAATTAGCAGTGTTTGCAGATTGCATTACATCTAAAGGAACTAGAGATTGTTGACTTATGGCTTTCTTTTTACCTAGACTAATTTGAAATAGTATTAATTTTGTATCTAGTAGTGTTGTTGTTTTGGTTTTTTTTTTCCCCAAATTACTTTGAAAGAGAGTTTTTAATACTTGCCTTTAACAAATCAGGTAACCTATGTGTTTTCATTTCACTATCTAGAAGATGCAGTTAGTCATTCCTACTTTTTAAATATATACAAATATATATTACTACATATCTGTATATATGCTTATATCTTTAGAATGAGCAAGTGTTTATTAATGTGTTTCTGAGAGAAGATCAGTAGATTAAAGACACTGAAATGAGGCTTCAGCAGCAAAGGATAAAAGGTTAATTATTAATTATTGTTTAAAAAGGTTATTTTTCTGTCTCTATGGAGAATAGAATATTAACATGGAGTTCCTCAAGATGGATTTCTTTAGCCTTGTAGACATGGGGAGAACTTCTTACTATGAAGATTAAATAGTTTAGAGACAACTTAACGGTGGTGATTAGTTCGATTTTGTTCTTGAATATCAATGTTAAGAGAAACAACAGTTTTGCTTATTTTAAGTGTTCATTTATTGGACTCCATTTGGCTCAAGTGGCCTCGAAGTTCAGCAATTTTAGGATTTCATGAGATGGATTAAAAAAAATAGAGCAGACCTGCCTTTTATGATATTTTAAACTGAAATATTTTCAAAACCAAGTAATTTGCTCTTTTAGAAAACTTTTCCAGAAAAGCATCCTTATTATCATTATTTGAGTTACAAGAGATACTGTGCACTGCTCTAGATGCTGGGAATACAAAGGTGGATAAATGTGATCTGTGCTCCTCGGCCCCACAATACTGTGAGGGGGACAGTGGACAAGCCTGCTGTGCTCCGAGGTGGTAAGAGCTTCAGAGGCCCTGATGACAAGGAAGCACCTGGAAAAGGGCACCTAGTCAGTACTTGAGAGAGAGCAGGACGGCCTTTCTAGTAATGGTGAGGTTGGAGCTCAGTGTGGACGACAGCAGCTAGCAGCGGCAGCCAGGGAGAGGGAAGGGAGAGAGGAGCAGAAGAGAGTGCAGTGGGCTGTGCAGGGGAATTTGGACCACTTCGAAGTGGACTGGCAAATCGATGGAGAACTATTATTGGTTAGTTTTGTATTTGTCCTGATAATTTCAGTTTTGGTATTTGAGGTAAAAACAGGCTAGGTTAATGTGGAAGGTTCTCACAGTTCAAAAATCCACCAAGTTTTGTGGCCCTCACCTAAAACCCTAAATGTAACTTTCCCAAATGTTTGTCTCGGTACATACTTTATAGTGTTATTCATTCAGTGCTATTCTCGAAAATTAGTCTTATAAATTTTGAACTCTTTAGTTACTTAGATGTGTCCACGTATTTTCCCTAAATGAAATGACATGCCTGGACAATCTGATGGCAGATGATCGTTAACAAGTTGGAATATAAGCTTGAAGCTCTACTTCAAGCGTGTGATATAGGAAGTGTGTATTTCAGGGTTGAACCTAAAAGAAATCCTATTAAAGAAGAAGTACCAACACTGAAAATAGAATTCCATTAGAATTACTTACCGTGGCAAGGGTGAAATCGTATGCTGCTTCATCAGTGTTACTGTTAGGTGTAGGAGAGGATTCTGTATGTGAGGAGTTAAATATGTCAGCAACTGTCAGATTTACTGAATTTATTTCAAGATATTATCCTAGAGGAAACATTTTAAATCCTCAGTTACTTATAATTTTTTAGGTTGTTGAATTTCCATGAAACCCTGTAAATAGTCTTTCCTGAAGAATAATTCTGATGATCTACTTGCCTAAAAAAGTTGTAAATATTGAAGATTTAACTTTTTGAATTCAGGTGCTAGTTTCATGCCATTTCATGAGAATTTTTTATGTGTTAGCAAATTAAGACCTTTTAAACATTGAATTGTCTGGTTTTTCAACCATTTTACGTGGTTCTGCCACAGAGTTATGTATTTCTCGACGCTTCAAGATTTAAGCGGCATGATATTAGCTAGCCTGTGAGTCTTGTGTGGTGAGTTAGAAATGTCAGCCAAGGTTTACCTAATTCCAGAGTCCCTGTTTGTTTTTACTTCCACATGTGCTCCACATCAAAACTAATTCTCAAAATCCCTGAAGATTTTAATGGTTTTTACACAAGTAAAGTTGCTTATGTATTTTATTGGGAAGATTTTTGGAAAATGTTATGACATTTCTAACTCAGTTACGTATAACTGAGAACCAGATTTGGATAGAAGGACGATTGCAGTTTGGATATGTCACATTTGAAATGCTTGTCAAATATCCAAGTGAAGATATCCCATAAGCTGATACATGTGTGGGAGATTTAGGTGGTAAAAATCTAGGCTAAGGGGTAGGCTTTGGGAGTTATCAGCACTAAGAGGGTAATTGAAGTTATAGGGAGGAGGTATAGAAGGAGAAGAAAACAGGTCCCAATGGCAGAACCCTGAAGAACACCAATGTTTAAGAACTAACCAGAAGAAGAATGCACAAGAGAGACTTAGGAGGAGCACTCACAGAGGCGGGTGAAAACCTGGCGAGTGTGATGTCATGAAAGCCGGGGAAGATTGAGTGGTAAATCGATGGATGTTATCACATACTATAGACAGATCAAATAATGTGAATACTAAGGTTTTAACAACAGAAAAAGTATTGGTGATTTAGCTAGCAGTTTCACTGGTATAGTTATCAAAACTATGGTAGGTTGAGGCATAAGTCGAGGTTGGAAGTGGAAAAGAGTATTGTTAAGTCTTTCCAGATGGACTGTGAAGCATGAAAAGATGCTCATCGTCCCTCCTTACCAGGAAAATAGAAATCAAAACTACGATGAGCTGTCACCTCCAGTCAGAATGGCTAAAATTAATGAAAAGAAACAAGAGGTGTTGGGGAGGATGTGGAGAAAGGGGAATCCTCTTACACTGTTGGTGGGAATGCACACTGGTGCAGCCACTCTGGAAAACAGTGAGAATCCCAAGAAGGTTCCACATCCAGTGCAGAGCCTGATGTGCGGCTCGGTTTTGTGACCCTCAGATTATTATAAACATCCAACTCCTGATTTCATAATCAGGATGTTTAACTGACTGAGCCACCCAGCTGCCCCTAAATTGAGTTATTTTAAAACATCAACTAAAGGAGTCCAGTGCTTCCATCTTGTGATTGAGGTGATCTTGCAAGTTAAGCCTAAATTATAGAACCTAAACCCCTGAACCCTACATCCATCTCTACATTAGAGACCTTAACAGTGACTGGTGACAAAACTTAGTGTCTATTGTCAGGCACAACTCACACTTGTTTCTGTTGACTCTCTGTTTTCATGGATGACTGATCCCTGTTTGACTGATACAGTCTTAGTTATGCTATGCATTAATTTGGGCTATTTTTTTGTTGGCCCTGTAGCTTTTACAACTTTTTAAAGATCAATTTTTAAGATTGTATCTCTTCTCTGACCTGTGCTTCTTTTACTTAGGTGAGTCTTACATACATTTTTTTTTTTAATTCTTGAGGGAAACTCACCATAACTTTCTGAGAAATCACCTATAGTTTAAGAAGTAGGAGTGAATGAGCACCCACCTATTCTATGTAACTCTTTGGGAGTACTACAATAGGAATGTCTTATGGCCTAGAAGGAAGAGAACTATTCATTTCTCTAACATCAATTCCATAAAGGTATTGAAGACCGATGGGGTGTGCCAGGAGCAAAAAGGTACAGTTGAAAGCCTAGAGAAGATTCCTGCCTTTACAACTTATAGCTTAATGTGAGGGCCAGCATTAAAAAATTTACAGATAATTTTTCATTAGTTTTGAGACTTGAGATAGTATGGACCTGTCAGAGTATATAAAAGGATCTGGACTGGGGAGGTCAGGGAAAACTCTTTCCAAAACAAATGACACTTAAGCTGAGGTTTGCTGAACAGGAGTTGGCTGAGAATCCTTCTGCATTTCACGGCAGAGGAGTGGCGTGTGAAGGCCCAGAGTTGTTAGCCGCCTCTCCCTGGGTATTGTCTCTTGGTCCCCTAGAAGCAGTAATGAGTTGGCTAATGGCCTTTCCTCCCCTCATGACTGTCTGATTTGGATCATCCCTATTCTTAAGTCTTTTGTATTCGTAAGTATACATGAGCTTCTACTGCTTGCTCTGTTGGCTTCAGTGGTTTTCTTTTTTCCCCAGCTCACATTTATGAGGAATCACCGAGCTTACTCTACTTTCCGTTAATTTCTCCTTTGTCACAGTTGGTTCCTGGTGTGCTTTTCTGCATCGCTGGAGCGTGCAGGATTTACATAGTCTTTTGTAAATCTCAACTCCATTTAGTATTGTTTTTACAGTTAAGTATGTTCAGAGCTCACCATCAAACTCTATGCTGCAGTTCCTCTATTTCTTGGTTAGGTAAATCTTGCTCCCTCGTTGATGCCTCATGAATAACTCCTAGGAATAATGACCTTGAGTTCCTCACATATAGGACTATGCATGAATTTTATATTTAAGATTTTTAACTTTAGAGTCCCGTATTTTTACTAGAAAATGTTGCAGTGCTAACCATTCTTAATCTTCATTCTTAGACATGTAGACCCATTGTTCCTTTTAATTCTGGAGAGTTTTCTGTTCATTCTCCTCTATTCCTTTGATTTCCTGCCTTAGGGATACAATTATACATACCATAGCTCTCCTTTGCCAGACTTCTGAATCTGCTATTTACTCTTAAATAGTTTTTTCGTCTTCTCGTATTCTTTTTGTTTCACTTTCTTCACACTTTCCCTGTATATTCTATTTGTTTTTCCTGATTCTTTTTACTTTTATGTTAGTTTAGTTTAGTTTTATGTTATTTTCTGGTATTCTTTCTTGTTCTTTCCTTAGCTCTTTCAGAACAGTTTGCATACCCCCTGTTTTTTAGTTCTCTCATTCTTGAGCTTTTTTTTATCAAGACTTTAAAAGGGCTGAAGTTTTTTTTATCCTACTTGCAAGCTTAAAACAGCTTCCCACAGTTTTAAGGATCAAACATAAGGCAAGAGAAAGCCCTGGATCAGAATTTAAAGACTTTCTAACTGACCGAGGGAAGTCTCCCAAGTGGGCCACAGCTCTCTTCTCAGCCATGACCCATTATAGTAATTTTTGAGGCTTTTCACTGTCCTGTTTGAAAGGATCTAAGGTTGATGTGATAGACTGTAGGAATTGTTGAATCATAAGGTGGTTGTAATTCTGCATTCTGTACTCTACCCTCTCCTCTGCCAGGCAAGCCAATGTTCTAATGACTTTCTGACCTTCTGTCCATAGTGGTAACAGATTTCCTTCCTTTTTCACTGTGTGCACGTGTGCATGTCTATAGCTCTTGTCTGAAGACGGGCAAACCTTATCCTAATCCAAGAAAGGTCTTTGTACTTGTCACAGTGGATTGGACTTGAAGATGACAAAAGCACTGACGGGAAAGTCCCCTTGCTTGGAGAAGAGTTAACAACTAAGACCTCATTTGGATAAATGCCTCTGAATCTACTGCCCAGTTCTTGATCTGTAACCTCGTCCTTATTTTCTTCTCAATAATAGGCAACAAAGTCAAGGACCATTTATTGTCTGATTGACCATAAAATTTTATAAGTATGCTTACTATCAGTTTACAAGGACTTCCTCTAAATTCTGTAAATTGACCCATGAGGCTGGGTCTTTTCTCCTCTAAAAATCTATGTATTCATCAGCATTCCATCTCTTTGTCAGATCTGTTAAGTACTATGAAGGTTCTGAGATTTTACTGTTTCCAAGCTAACAGGTTAGTTTCATGGATGCGGATAGAAGACCTGAAAGCCCTAGATGAGAGATGGAGGACTTTCTTACTCAAAGAAAAAGCATCATCCACCATGTTTACATATGTGCACTGGTTCCCTGAGCCCTGATTCCCACAGGACACCATAGGGAGCCAGGTAACACCTGAATGAATGGGTTGTAGTAAGGAGAGGAGCCAAGGGTCAAGAGCCCAGCAGCTTTTGAACAAGTAGTAGACACCGTAGCAATCAACAAACAGTTCAGTGTCCCTCACCACCTCCAACATATCTCCTTCCATGCAGCACTCTTCTCCTCTCTCTCCTCCCCCACCTCCCAAGAGTGTCTATGGTTACACATCCCTTTTGTCCTCCCTTTTCACAGCCAGGAACTGTGATCTGTGGATAAAGATCAGAGTGTACCCTAGCTGTGCTCTTTTAATTACATTTCTTCTGTCAGTTGATAACTTAGTACCAGGGAGTAAAGGAGAGAGGAAATGACCAGGGCATGTCTATGGGCCAGCTTACGGGGGCTGATACAAGCTGGCTCCAGAGCTGCGTTGCTGGTACCGACCACCTCTGGCTGCCAGGGTCAACAGTGCAGACGATAATTATACCCCCGGTGGTGTAGAGAAAAGGAAAGGGCAAAAAATAGATGGTTCCTTCCCTGCTTACGCCATGAGTGTCACCGGGTCCTCTTCAGCTCTTGGCTTCTGTTCTCTGGGACTATTCCCAGCCAAATGATCTCCAGCTCCCCAGGGCTTTCCAAGAGTTCTTACACTCTAGGATTGATCCTTCTCTTTGGCGTGTTCAGGAATTTTGCAGAGGGGTTTAGAGGAAGGAATCAGCAGTTCAGGTTATTGTATATAAGAAGACATTTATTCTTTTAAAAAAAAATGTTTTTTCAGCATAACAGTATTCATTGTTTTTGTACCACACCCAGTGCTCCATGCAGTCCGTGCCCTCTCTAATACCCACCACCTGGTTCCCCCAACCTCCCACCTCCCCACTTCTTCAAACCCTTCAGATTGTTTTTCAAAGTCCATAGTCTCTCATTGTTCACCTCCCCTTCCAGTTTCCCCCAACTGCCTTCATTTATTCTTTAAGGTCTGTTTCAAATTCTGTCTCCTAAAGCATTCTGGATACACTAATTGCTTTTGGCTATGTGTATTAAATCTGAGTTGTATTTATTTATACGTGTCATTTAAAATTAAGTCATATTTAATTTTTTTGTGCTGTTCTTCGTCTCCTCTTAAATCATAGGTAGGTCCTGAATCTTATTCTTGTGTTATAACCCACAGCCTTGGGGTGAAATAATCGGATATCCTGGCCCCTCCCAAATAGATTTTAGTGGTAGAATTATTTTCACCTAGAATCATAGCACTTGATTATACCTCACTGGTGCATCCAAATGAAGTTAATGAACAAGATCTTGATTTTCCGTTTTTCTCCAACATCACCCATAACCAAACTTAAGATTTGATGGTATTGTTAGCTTTACAGTAGAGCTGTGCCAGTGTGTTGAAAATGAAAATAACATCCTTTTCTCTTGATTTTTTTTTTTTTTTTTTTGGTATAGAATCAGCTTATTCTTATTACAACTTAATCCTGAAGAAAGCTGGACAATTCTTAGACAATTTGCATATCAACCTCTTAAAGTTTGCTTTCTCAATAAGAGCATACTCACCAACTATTCAGATGTTTCAACAGGTATGTAAAAGCACCCAAACCTAGAGCTGACAAAGAAGCATGCTGGTACTGTACATGAATATTAATGTGAATATCTTTGGTTCAAAAGGATCTACAGAAGGGTCACCTGGGTGGCAGGTTAAGCATCTGCCAGGTCATGATCCCAGGGTCCTGGGATCCAGTCCTTTATTGGGCTCCTTGCTCAGCGGGGAGCCTTCTTCTCCCTCTGCTGCTCCCCCTGATTGTGCACTCGCTCTCTGACAAATAAATAAAATTTTGGGGGGAAAAAAATCTGTAGACTTGGAATACCTGCTTCCATAGCCTGTCATTGATTGTATTATCATTGTTGATCGATTATAATTGAATACATTTTATAATTTTATAGTTATTTGGAATAAGGAAATTATAAGGATAAATGATTATTGAAATTAATGAAAATTTTAATTTAGCATTTTTTGGTGGCATTTTTCAGTGACTTTGAAGCATATTCTACTATAAAGTTGATTTTGTTAAAGTATTTGATTTGGCCTGCATGTAGATACTCTTTAATTAGAGCATTAACTTAACAGTAGTTGATGAGTTATTTCAATCAAAGGAATATATGAGTTTTAAAGATCATATTGTAATTATCAGCTACTGTAGCTAAATATAACCTCTGAAATCTTAGATTGCAGCTGATGAGCCCCCGCCAGACGGCTGCGATGCATTTGTGGTTATCCATAAAAAACACACCTGTAAAATTAATGAGCTCAAAAAGCTGCTGAAGAAGGCTACTTCAAGGTACGTTCATGATAGCCTGTAGTGAAAGAAATGGTTTATAAAAAGAGATGAGGGTTGAGGGACGCCTGGGTGGCTCAGTTGGTTGGACGACTGCCTTCGGCTCAGGTCATGATCCCGGAATCCCGGGATCGAGTCCTGTATCGGGCTCCCGGCTCCATGGGGAGTCTGCTTCTCCCTCTGACCTTCTCCTCGCTCATGCTCTCTCTCACTGTCTCTCTCTCAAATAAATAAATAAAAATCTTTAAAAAAAAAAAAAAAAAGAGATGAGGGTTGAAATAGCAGAAATTGCTTATAAAAATTTTTCATAATGAAGATGTTGCTTACTGAAAAACTCAATCTCCCGAGCTGGTGGTTCAAGTCCTTTTCTAAAACGTACGAGTATTTTCAGTATTTTGTCTCATTAGCTTTTGATTTTAGAATATCAGTTTTATCAAAATACCATAAAATACATTAAATGTTTTATAGAATCATAGATTGCTTTTTCAAATAAACGCACAAAACTGGATTTATTTGGACTCTGTCTCTTTAACTATAAACTGAATTTAAAACTTGGAAATAAAAAATTAACAATACAGTAATACAGAGTATAAAGGTGCCTTGTTATAACGTATGATTAAAAACTTTTTTACTTCTTCCAAGTATTTAATACAAATAGATAGGGGCAGTCAGAAGAAAATTATTAATAGTACCAGTATATATGTCTGATTTAGTTATACTTTAAAAAGTTTTAGTTGTTTCTCTAATTTTGAAAGAGTTCTTTATATATTAAACAGTAATATATACTTAGTAATTCATCTCAGTACTTCTCTTTTTTTGTTGTAAACCTTTTAAAATATTTTCTTGCATTTTATATTAATTTTAATATACAGAAGCCTCTTTAATTTCATGTTGCCCAAATTTTCTTTTATGTGTGTGTGTTTTTATACTTAGTTTTTTCCAAACCTGAGCGAGAGATTTTAACTATTATTTTCCAGTAGCTTTCCTAAAGCTTTTCTTTTCATTTTACCTTAAACTTTTAATCCATGTAAGTTATTGTTATCAAAGGTAAGGATCCAGTCAGGCCTTTTTTCCCTTCAGGAGACTTGTCGATCATATATTCATTATATTTATGTTATGCTCTATTTCATAACTGTCCTGTACATTAACTATTTCTTGTAGCAGTGCCATGCTGTTTTAGTATTTATTGTTTTATAATATATTCTGATATTTCACAGTACAATTTCATTGCTGCTTTATTTCCTCCAGATTTTTTTTGCTCTTTGCAGTTACTGATGCTCTCAAATTAACATTAGAGTTCTTTTTCTTCTGCCAAATTGCCTCCTAAAAAACCTCGGTGGAATTTGTTAGAATTATGTTAAACCTGTTGGTTAATTTAAAAACAATTTAAATCTTTATTGAATCTCTCAACAGATGACATTGTATGTCTTCTGTTCATACCTTTTCTTTTTTGTTCATACGTTTTAAAATGTTGAAGTTTTGTAATCTTACATTTTTAAAATCAGAAATAACTTATCAGTTATTTATTGAAATGTAATACAAAGTTTTTCTCATTGGACATACTGTGTATTGTAATATATATTAAAATATTGTACCGTCTTTGCATTTGTTAATGCTGTGGGATATCTTCTGTTAAATTAAGATTGCTTATGTTTTAAGATTCATGCTTCTATTTTAATAGATGAGATTAGCTATTTAAATTATAAATGCCACTTTTTAAAAGTCATTTAGCTTCATATAGTGAATTAGGCAACCATGTTATTTCTGTAAATTCTGTTCTTGTACATATATATATATTAAAGAAAAGTATGTCATAGAAATGATCACTTCCTTTTTGTTTAAATATAGCAATTTATTTCTCAAAGGAGTTTGATCCATGTGTTTTAATACTTTTATGCATTTTATATCCATTAAGCTTCTGTGAAAAGTACCCCCTGCTGTGTTTAGGGGTGTCTGCATTGAATTTTTGTTTAATTTTTATTAAGTATAGCTGATACACAACATTGTATATGTTTCAAGTGCACAACATAGTAATTCAACAGTTCCTGTAATTTCTGCAGTACTCACAGAAGTGTGGTTATCCTCTGTTACCATACAACATTATTATAGTATTATTGGCTTTATTCCTTATGCTGTACTTTTTATCTCTGTGACTTATTTTATAACTAAAAGTTTGTACCTCCTTAATCCCCTTCACCTATTTTGCCTATTCCCCCCACCCCATTCTTCTCTGGGAACCACCAGTTCTCTGTATTTATCAGTTTCTGGGGATTTTTTTTTTTTTTTTTTTTTTTTTGGTGTTTATCCACTTATTGTGTTAAATTTATTTTGTTTAGATTCCACATATAAGTAAAATCATATATTTGTCTTTCTCTGTCTTATTTCACTTAACACCCCTGGGTCCATCCATGTTGTCACTAATGGCAAGATCTTCAATTCCTTTATAGTTTTTATCCCCCTCCCCTTTATAGTTTTAGTAGATTAACTGTGAAATTGTTAGCCCTTGTGCATTTTTTTTTTCTTTTCCTAGTGCATTTTTAAAATTTTATTTTGGTGACTTTTAAAATTATTTATTTTTGATGTCTGACTTTATAAGTTTCTTAAATATTGACTAAGTATTAAATATAAAATTAAGATTAAAGAGAGGTTAACATCAAGCTTTTGGGAGAGGCCATTTGCAGTGGGCCCTGTGAGCTTTGCGTGTTCTTGGTCTGATGAATAGATTGTGGAAGACCCTGACTGTTCTTTACCTGAGCCATTTCTCAGAGTTGTGTTTGTAGCAGGCAACCTGGAGGAATGAGATGATTTTCCCTTTGGAAAGAAGAGCAGGCTTGTTTACTGCTTGCTATAAAACAGTGGTTCCCCAAGTATAGTGTCCCTCAGCTACAACATATACCCGCTATTTGTGTGTAGTATCCATTTAGGTCCATATTTTTCCCATCTCATCCCTCCCACCAGGAAATGATAAAAACCTAATAGTGTTTTGTAAGTAGGATAAAGTCAAACCTTAGATCTTTTACAGGTTTTTTTTTCTTTTAAGATTTTACTTATTTATCCATCAGAGAGGGAGAGAGCACACAAGCAGGGGGAGCAGCAGGCAGAGGGAGAAGTGGGCTCCCCACCGAGCAGGGAGCCCAAGGCAGGGCCTGATCCCAGGACCCCGAGACCATGGCCTGAGCCAAAGGCTGAAGCTTAGCCAACTGAGCCATTCAGGCACCCCATCCTTTACAGTTCTTAATAGCTTCAGAAACAAGGGTGAGATGTTGACAGATATATGGCTTTCTGGAAGAGGAAGGACAAGGGCCACATGGTTAGAAGAAGACAAAAGCTCAATACTTAAAATTTTGTCCTACTGCTTTCTTCTCTCTCCTCCTGCCATTTTGTACTACTCTCTGCTCCTGGATGGGTGAGAGCAATTTTCTGATAACTTGCTGTAGCCTCTGTGACAGCTCCTTGATATATGTTGCTGCAGGAAAGAGCACCCAAGCTCAACTGACAGGGTTTGGAAGGTGTTCACAATGAGCAAGGCTTTAATATGATGTCTGGGCCATTTCGATGAAGTTTTATTATTTCGGCTTCTGTGACTGAATTACGTTTGGCACTGATACTGTGTGTGTTTATACTGTGAATGCTGTGACCGCTCAGAGTCTCAAGGGAGACCACCACATGTACCGTCTGTTTCCAGGTGAACGACATACAGTCCCAGGAGAGAAAGTTGAGCTAGAATCCCGTTAGAGTCTGACTGGCTGCTGGAATACCCAGAGGCAGTTTCGAGTAGATCAGCGCCACCTGCCTGACTGTCATCAAGTATACTCCTTTTTGAAAAGCCGCTCTTAGGGGCTCTTAAGCTCTTACTGAAACTGAAGGCCTAACCCACGGAAGCCTTGTGACTCTAACATCTGATGGTTTATATTTCGGCGTCGGCTAAGTAGGATTCAGTGACTGACAAGATAGAGGGACCCAACAAGTCTCTCCAGTCAATTGAAAATGGCATATTCAAGAGCATAGTTGTTTTGACTTAGCATGATCTTGGATTTACGTGGAAAGGGGGTAGCTACCCTTTGGGCAAACCATGTGCCCTATTCCACTACCTCAAGTAAAGTTTCTGGCTCAGGGGGGCCCTCAGTCCACAGTGGTTTCCCTAAATGACTGGGCTGCGTTACTGGTACGTTCAGCTAAGTTAGAGCTGATGGCATCGTTAGGTGGCCGTTACTGTTCCGTCAAGCCACAGCTATGCAGCACGAAAAGTAGGTGTGGTCACTGCATTCCGTGGGCAGAATTCAAGGTGGTGCTCTGTCCCTGACTAGTCTCTGACCCCCTTGGTGAAAATTGTTACATTTATACTGACGCTTGGATTGTTCCCAGTGGCCTACCTGTCTAGTCTGCCACTTGGAAGACCACCAACTGGCAGAGCAAAGGCACCGCTCCTCAGGGCTGTACCCTCTGAAGTTAAACTGCCGCCCATCTGCCAGTGTGATTTGCTTCTGTAAACGTGCAGTGTTAGGCCCATTCTTTTAGTCCGAGTAAAGTCAAGCTGCTTACACTTCAAACACAATACCTTGAAACACAACAACATTATGGCCAAAACAGGTAGAATGATTTGTCCCTTCCCTACCTCCTGTTCAAAGATCTGTGCTCTGGATCTGCCCTAAATCTTGACAGATATTATATATTTAAGTACATATATGATTATGTATTTGGGAGAAAATGACAGCAATCATCACTATCTTAAGTTAGTATAACTTGCTCCCTCTGCCCTCAACAAGGATATGAAACTATTAAGGAATACTTCTTTGGAAATTGGGATGGTGAGAATAATAGAAAAGAAAGGCAACTTTGATGCACTTAATGTGTTATGATTTTTTAAAAGAGGAAAAAATAAACCAAGTGTTCAGCTCAACCAAAGGGAAAAGAAGAAATAACATGAAAAAAATAGCAGAATTGCTCTTTCCTTTGTTTTAATCAGTCATTTCTTTAAAGAAAAAAAAAAAAACAAACTAAAA